TTACCATGTACAACTCTGGTAATCTGTATTTCCCTATCCAGGCACTGAAAAGGGGGACTTGAGAGTTATCAACATAACAAAGAGATCTGAAAACAATTAAGAATAAGCCAAATAGTCTAATAAAATTTTCAAAATAAAAAGTAGGGAGAGACAAGCATTGAACCTTCCCATGTTTAGGAAACAAGAAGCAGTAGAATCAAAGGAAAGCAGCATAAGGAAACCGAAACAGGAGTAGGGCCTGGGCTGTACTAAGTGATATAAGCCAAAGAAAAGTGAGTTAAGGAGATTGCAGTGGTTTGCATTGAAGGCTGTGGGGTAAAGAATAAAGACTGGTCAGGAATACCTTCTTCTAGCTGTGTCTCTGCCTATCATTTAAACTGTCTCAGGACAAGATTTTTAATTATACTAATATTTCATATCTACGAGAACAGGGACCCCCTCATCAGTGTTGTTTTCAAAAGACTCATTTTTTTCAGTCATTTATTCTCCAGGATGAACTTCTGAGTTAATTCAATTAATATTCAAAAATTAAATTTATACATTTGGGGAAAACTAACTTATAAAATAGTATGTTTCTAAGAAAAGCATTTTCCTTTTATTAATATTTTAGTAAGTTTTTTCATATATATTTTATGCACATATAAGATAAAATTATTGATTTTTGTCTATATATTTTGAATCTGGACACTTTACTGAGCTCTTTTTAGTGTTCATAATTTTGGTCCTCAAGTATATTATGACACTAATATAACTTTTCTTTGCTTCCTTGAGAATAGGAGCTGGATCTCATTCTTCTACGTTATTTACCATCCAGTGCCTATCATGTGGGCTCTCTATAAATGTTTCCTGAGTACTCCTTAGCCTCTCAGATTATTTCTACCCTGAACAAGGAAGTATTTTATAGTATCTTTAATCCTTGAGTCAACAAATCTTCAATGACCACTTATAGGTCAGTTGCTGCAGCAGGTACTGGGACTACAGCAAACCAGGTAGACTTGGTGGTTACCCTCTTGGACCATGTAATCCAGTGTCAATCACTGTTCCACATTTTAATTATAAGAGGTATTATTATAGCTCTTTGTACTCTTCCTAATCTTGGCACACTCACTACCTATGGGCATCAACATGTGCCTAGTGGAATTTTACTGTGTTTACTACTTAAATACAATTTTTAAAATTTAATAGTTTGTAATAAAAAATAGTATCTTTCAAAAGTTGAATAAAGAGTTAAAGAAACAATTATAATGATACTTCAATTCATAAAAAATGTGGCTAACAGGTAAATAATGAAAGAACAGAATTATTTCTATTCCTTACCTTTTGGTGCTTCCGGAACTCCGATGGGACAAATTATTTTCCTGATACAGTATTCAGACCGAATGCCATAAGGACCAACATCTCGTCTCTTAATTATTTCTGTTGTTGTGATTTCAGTTTCGGATGTTTCTACGGTGATTTAATTCACAAGTATTAATAAGCAACTAAAATATTCAGGTATAGCATCTGCTGCTTTAAAAGAAACACACGAAACAAACTTTTGGAAGCATTTTATTAACGATCAAAAGAAATATTTGAAAATTTCTAAACTGAGCAAAATGCTGTTTGGGGCAGCTTAGTTCCTGGTGGCCAAACTCATCCAAAATAGTAACAACACTAGGAGAGAAGCAGCAAGCATAGAGTTTGAGCTTTCCCAGTTTAAATGATTTCTACTCTATAACAGCAATTTTTAATTTTTTTTATCTCATGGTACATAAACTCGTCACTAAAATTCTGCAGCATACCAAAAAAAATTTATTATGTTTTTTTTTACCAATCTAACAACAAACATAGGTATAATTTGATTCATTCACACTGATGGCTTTTGCTGTGTTTTCTGTTCATTGTTTAATTTGACAATCTAAGGGAAAGGAGTCAGTCCCCCTGACTACATAGTCAGGTATTGCATGTTTTAAAAATTCCTGTGGCTGAAAATCACTGCTCTATAATAATAAATGTCTTTTAAAAATTCAGACTGGTTCATATATAAGTGGCTCACCTTATAATTTGAAACCTCCTTCCCTGCCCCCAGGATTTTCTAGCATGTGCTGACAAACTTTACAAAGCTATA